GAAAAGTCCCTGGTGTTTGAAAAGTTTTAAAATTTATACTTATTTATTTTCTTATCAGGTAAGTAGAGTAGGTTTCTATTAGGTTTATTTATAAAAGTTTGTTTATGACGCTATGATTCCCTCTACAAACGTCAATCTGTAATTATTCAGTATAATTCAAACACGGCGCGACGCGACATATCAAGCGCGGTTCTCCTTACCGGCCCTCACCTTGAGCAGCTGACCCCTATTGCGTCACTTAGGACATACATATTAAAATGGAGAGCGCTAGCAGCGTTTTTTTCCGCCATTTAAATACATCGTTTTTGTATTTGCAGTTTTTGCCTTCACACAACTGATATTAATAAACTTATTGTTTGTAGCTATTGATTGTTTTTAAAATAATTGTGAATAAATAAAATAAGAACATACTGGAATTTTAACCGACCTCTGACATACCGGCCCAAAACTATTTTTTATCTGAATTTTGCAACAAAATTACATTTGTTGAGACGTATGATTTAGTTTGAAGAACTTTAAAAAAACTTTTAAGACTCCATTAGACACTGTTTATAATACTAACAAATATTGTGAGCACTAAGCTCAACAACTGTGGTTCACATGTTCACTGACCTTATAATAATAATTAATACTTATATTTAGAAAAAAGCTCTCGTGAGAGATAACACGAATAGAATAGAAAAGTTATTATATTTTTAATTTTTATATTAAGAATTAAAGTCTACTTAGGAAAGCAATACTACCAGTAGGTACTATACAGTAGATTTAGTTATTTAAATCTATACAAATAATAAAATATAATATTTATGCGAAATCTAGACATGAAATTTTTTTAAAAACAAGGACTGAACTTACGTATTGTATACAGAATATTGTCCTCAAAACAATATTTAAAGAAATATGAATAAAATAGCATTGCCCGCGGCTCCGCCCGCGTTTAGATGACCAAAAATCAAATTCTTAGGTTTTACATATTGGTATACTCTTACAATGCAGTTTTTGTATTTTTTCTAAGAAATGAGATATTTTCGCGCGGTAAAAAGTATCCTTTGTGTTGACCCGGATAACCAGCTATCATCATACCAAATTTCATCAAAATCCCTCCAGTGGTTTGTCTGTGATGCGGTAACAGACAGACAGACAGACAAAAATTCTATAAACTATAGATTCGGCCTCTGTATCGATAATAATGTCTATTTCAATAAGATTTTCCAAAAAATATTTAATGTACAGATTTGGCTTGACACAAGTGCACTCTCTATTCCTGTCACTCTAATACTCCGGTGGGACGACCACTCGACACGACTGGTGAGAGTTAAGGCGCAGGACCGACGGCTTTACGTGCTCTCCGAGGCACGGAGGTGAATCCGGGGCTGACTGCTACCGGACGCGTCCCCCGGGTGGCGGATAGGGGAACACCACTCGCACCTGTTTGGACCCGACAGGAGCTTGTGGTACCAGAGCAATCCGGCGCGGACCAACAGCCAGGAGGGGCGTTGAGGGAGCGGCGTCAGGAGCGCGCCGTCTCCTTCTTGGAGGTAGCGCGGTATCTCCGTCCGTTTCGCGGTAGGAGGCGCTGCGCGGGCCACACTACCGGGGCTAGCCCGTCGGTGCGGCGGCTGGAGCGGGGCCAGTTCGGTGGTCCTGCGTCTGGCGAGGGATGTTGGCAGCCATTTTGGTCCGGAGATGGGCCGACGGTAGGGGGGCCGCGGGGGAAGAGGAGTGTCGGTATGGCGATGCGCCGCTCGTCCCTATCTCCCGCGGCCTAGCGGGACCACCACCGTTGATGGTGGACGCGGTGGGGCTGCAGGGGAAGGGGAGTGTCGGCGTTGTCGCATCCTCTTCTCCTGCAGCCGTTTGTGGTTGGGCTCGTTAGCGGGCGTCTTTGGGGGAGTTTGGCCAATTTGGGTAGGGTTAGGTTATTTTTGCAGGTTGCCCACTTCGGTGGGCGGTGTTTGTGTCGTGTGGGGCTGCTCCGGGTACTTCTCTGACCAGCAGAGTGGACTCAGAAGCAGCCTCACTTCTTGGGTGTCAAGTCTTCCCATAATGGGGTTGTCCCGCTTGGGGCGGCCTCATGGTTGGTGGCTTCGGCCAACCGTCGGGGCGTCGCGGTTGTATGCGAAAGCGATCCCGTGGCGTCCCACATGGCGGCAGGGGGGGGAAGTTGGGTTTTAGTGGGTATGCCGGTTTCATTAGCCGGAGAGTCTCCACATAACCACCCCGGGGGAAGTCGGGTGGTATCCGTAATAGGATTTCCCAACTATAAAAAAAAAGGCACGAGGGTGAAACACCGCCAACTTCCCAATTCCGGGCTGTTACTGAGACTTACTATACAGAAAGACTCAATAACTAAACTTGACCCGACCCGGGACTCGAACACAGGCCCTCCGGGTGTGCAGCCGTACATGCTAGCCACTACACCACTGAGACAGTTAAATAAGTATATAATAGAAAAAAAAACATTTTAACGTTATTGCGATGATATACCTAATACTTATTTAAGGAATAAATTATATGTGCTTTTTAAAATTTTGTCGAGGAATAAATAACCCAAAAAGGAAAGCTTCATATTTTCAGGAGCGGATCTGGCCTTTTGGGCTTTGGGTTAATATTGTGAATTTATAAAATTTTAATTTCATCTAGTACCATCTATCTTATAGATTTTATAAAGACAAAATGACAATTATTTAAGGCCCTCAAGAAAGTATTAGCCCAGGGCCCCCCAAATTCACAATCCGGCCCTGCATATTTTGTCATGTTTTCACTACGCATCTTCTGGTTTCATTATCAGATTATCTCCTTGATATCATCATTTTGTCATCTGGATTCTAGATAATTACAAAGCTACGAATAGGTTCGAATTTGAATTAGGAGTAGGTAGGTTAACATCGACTTTGTTTAACTTAGTTATACATAAAGTTAAGTATCAAATGGATGAATTGTTTAATAATGGTGGCCACAGACCACTGGATTTAGATTGTACGGATCGGATCATGTTTTCAGTGAACACTTTTCACTCACAAACTTTCGCATATTTATAATGGGAGGATGAGTCTTCTGGTGGATAATAGCTATTAATTAACCGAATTCCAAAAAGGAGGATTTTCTCAATTCGTCGATTTTTTTTCTTTTTTTATGTATTTTCACCGATTACTCGAAGACGCCTGAACCGATTTGGAAATTTTTTAAGCCAACAATATTTTAAGAGATGAATAGCTAATAGGTAAATATGTATTTTACGTATCGAAATGTATTAAGATTTGCTTTGCATCGGCTGGCACAGACTTCGAAAATATTTGATTAGATATCTATTCTAAATTAATATTTTGGGTTTGGTGCCATTTTGGTATTGTTATTGTTGTTTGGTTGTGCGCATTTTTAAACTATCCTAATACATAATTATAGTACCTGTATTGTCTGTTACAACTATATAATGACCTTTAAGACGTTTAAAACCTTAGTCTCTCCCGTGAGCATAGGTAATTGCTGTAAACTGTTAAGCATTCGAAACGTTGGGAACCAAAAATCAAAATAAATCCGCGAAAAAATCATAGAAAATAGTTTTAATTAAAAGCTATAATTACTAACCTAAATCATAGCTTCGGATGTATACAACGCAAACCATATATATTTATATGTATGCATGTATATTTTACATAAGTACTATTTCATGTTACATTAAACGTTTCTATGTTTTCGTTTTAAAAACAAAGTTAAACAGACGTCTTTAGTAAGTACCTATATATACGATACGTCTTGCTAAATTGTATATAATTTAAGTAATATGAGAACATGCTTTTTGATGAACTATGCTTAAAAATATTTGCTGAAATTTTAACATTACATTACTAGTTGGCGCATAAAAGAAATATTTGATTTAATTCGGAGTGGGCCAAGTTCATCGGACACGAAATAACAATTATTATTGTCGGCAGACAGCGTACACAGGAGGTTTAAAGCCAATGAGATCCGATGTAAGTATGTCTGAAACAGTGTGTATAATATTGTAATATTTCATAATATTTCAAGTAGATTTTTATATTGTATTTGTAAGTACACGTTGTTTTTCGAAATTAAATTATTATTCATAGAGATAACTAATAACCAGAATAGAGTCCAATGGTTTGTTTACACTAACAGCTATGTAAAGATATTGTTGTGATCATTAATTGTTTACTTTTCCCAAAGTTTAGCATTTGTTCTAACAATGCATTAACGATGTTTGTATAATAATTAAGAATAACTTAAATACTCCTCCACCCGATTGTAACAGGCAGTCCTGATCGACAGTCCTGATCGACAGTCCTGATCGACAGTCTAGTTAAGCTCTTTTCGTTTTAAGTGTCTATAATAATAAATATTATTAAATAATTCGTGACACTGCGTGGTTGTTATTTTCAAGGCCCCTTCTGACCACCGAACATTACATTTTGGTGTCAGAAGTGGGATTCTAAGGCACTTTTGAAATATTAGAGTTCCTTTGTCCTGACAAAATAAAGAATAGTTTGGTCAGACAGTCTCCGGATCATCTACATACAAATACGTACTGGAGCAGCACGGTTTTCAGTCTTCGATGTGTGTACTCGTACATACATACTGAAATACAACGTGAAGGGACCGGAAATCAACCAGGCGAGGCACTTAACCCTCGACGATTGTACGTCAACAAAGGACACAGTGAGTCTCAAGAATCAACGAGGTTCAAGCATGAGGAGCTGAGGGACCGTGGTTCATCGCTGGAAATACATCAGTACCGCCAGTAGCAGCCAGTTCTTCAGTGGCATTCACGCTATCACCTCGACGACGCTACGAGATCGAGAAGGACTCCGCAATACAACGAGTAACGAGAAGCGTTCCAAGTGAGTCGCATTTGTTATTGTATTGTGTATATTATTATATTTTTGTATAAGGGTATATAAGTTGAGTAAGGCAAAGAATTTGTAGGACATAACCAAAAAGAAGTTATAGGTAATTGGTATTTGAATTAAATAGGAATCAAAATGAATTCAGAGGATAAATTTTCAGGTGGATTTATAGATATTAGTCTTGCAGAAAGAATGATAAACAAATATGATGGCGATAAATCAAATTTACACGTATTTATAGATAATTGTAATAATGCATTTGCACTCCTAAACCCCGTTTATAAAATTGCATTTATATCAGTAGTACTTTCAAAAATAGAAGGTAATATTCGGTCAACGTTATTAAATAGATCTTTTACTTCGTGGGAAAATTTAAAACAGCATTTATTAGAAAATTATAGTGAAAAAAGAACGTTTGCACAGTGGCAGTTAGAGTTAAATTCATGTAGACAAGGTAATAATGAATCAATTACTAAATATTCAAGTAGAGTAGAAAACTGTTACATTAAATTAATTAAATCATTAGACCCAAAATTAACAAAAGAAGCTCGAGAAGCCAATGTAGAGTTATTAAAAAATCAAGCATTAAATATCTTTATAAGTGGTCTTCTACCACAACTTCACATTTTACTGAAGTCTCAAAAACCTTTAACTTTTGAAGATGCAGTTTCAATTGCGATTTCTGAAGAACAAGAAATTAAATCCAGACAAGAAATGAACGTTAGACAAAATTATAATCCAGGAATAAAAAGGTGTACGAACTGTAATAAGTTAGGCCATTTAGCTCACCACTGTAGAAATCAACCTATGATTATACAAATGCATACTAATCACACAAATAATCACACGAATAATCACATACCTTCTTGTTTTAATTGTAAAAAAAAAGGGCATATCGCCAAAGACTGCTGGAATAATCAGAATAATCGTTATAATCGTCCAAGCAATGGTTGGAACCATGATAATAATAATAATAGGCAAACGAATAATAGAAGCAACGAAAATAAGCCTTTAAACACCAACGGTCCAAGGCCAGCGGCCAACCCGAGGACCACAAATTAGATTCAGGCCGAATAAGATTGATTGATACGCGTATTTCGTCATATGTAAAATTAGATTCCTTAAGTATATTAGAAAACGAAAATAAATTCCTAATTGATACAGGGGCAGAAGTCACGTTGATAAAATTAAAGTCATTAGTAGAGCGAACATTGATATACGAAGATAGAAAAATTAAATTAAAGGGAATTGACAAAGACGCTAGTCCAACTGATACAATCGGATGTGTCCATTTGACATTTGATATAGGAGAAAAAAGAGTTAATCATACACTTCACGTGGTTCCCGATAACTTTCCTATTCAATGCAATGGAGTTATAGGTAGCGATTTTTTGTCAAAGACAGGCTCGATAATTGATTATAAAGATAATAAAATCAGAATATGTGATATAGAAATGGATACTGAGCATGAAGAAATTAAATATGTAAATGAAGATTTAGAAAGTAATGTTTTCGGAAGCGATTGTGAAGTATATCCACAAATATTAAAAAATGAAAGAAATATTGGAAATAAAGTATGTAAGGAAGATTGTGAAGTATATCCACAAATATTAAAAAATGAAAGAAATATTGGAAATAAAGTATGTAAGGAAAATTGTGAAGTTCAGCCACAAGTATTAAAAAATGATATGTGTTATGAAAATAATAGACGTGAAAGTATTAGTGAAGTTCATCCACAAGACTTTAGTAATGAAAAGAATCATGAAAATAATTTATTTGTCATAGAACCAAGATGTGAAAAAGTGATTTCTATTTCAATAGAGAACCCTAAATTGAAAGAGGGACTAATACTAGATAAAATTAAGATATCAGATGGTTTGTATTTATGTCCAAGCATTGTAAAAGTTGAGAATAATAAGGCATTAACAGTATGTTTGAATACGACAGATAAGGAAGTGAAAATAAATAAATTGTTTGTTAAATTAGAACCGTTAGCTAATGAGTTAATTAGTATAAACAAAGTTAATGATAATGAAGATAATAAACAAGGGACGAATGAGATAATTAATATAAATAAAATTAAGAATGATGAAGCATACGAAGGAAGTCGTTTAGATAAGTTAAAAAAAACTTTACGTACGGATAACTTGAATAAGGAGGAAAAAGAATCTTTAATAGAATTATGTCAAGAGTATAATCACATATTTTATTTAGAAGGAGATAGGTTAACGTCAACAAATACAGTTATGCATGAAATACCTACTAATAGTAACATTCCTGTCAATACAAAGTCATATAGGTATCCAGAAGCACTTAAAGAAGAAGTTAATGAACAAATAAGTAAATTGTTAAAAGATGGAATTATTCATCCATCGAATAGTCCTTGGAATTCACCTGTATGGGTGGTCCCAAAAAAAAAATGGACGCATCGGGAAAAAAAAGTGGCGGCTTGTCATAGATTTTAGAAAGTTGAATGAAATAAGTATTGGAGATGTGTATCCACTACCTCAAATAAATGACATACTCGATCAGTTAGGTCATAGTAAATATTTCACAACCTTAGATTTAGCGTCAGGCTTTCATCAAATAAAAATGAGCCCAAAAGATCAATCAAAAACAGCTTTTAGTGTACCATTAGGACATTATGAATATACCAGAATGCCTTTTGGTTTGAAAAATGCACCAGCAACATTCCAAAGATTGATGAATAATGTTTTAGTAGGTTTACAAGGAATTAAATGTTTTGTATATCTTGACGATATTGTTATTTACGGTAGTTCCTTACAAGATCACAATATGAAATTAAAAGAAGTTTTTGATAGATTATCACAACATAGTTTAAAACTCCAACCGGATAAATGTGAATTTTTGAAAACGGAAGTTATGTATTTGGGTCATTTAATTACTCAAGATGGTGTTAAACCTGATCCGAAGAAAATAGAAGCTGTAAAAAATTATCCAGTACCAAGAAATCCAAAGGATATTAAAGCTTTCTTAGGACTAACCGGTTATTATCGAAGATTTATTCAAAATTTTAGTAAACTCAGTCAACCATTGACTAAACTTTTGAAGAAGGACGAACCTTTTATTTGGACAAGCTTACAACAAGAGTCATTTGAGACATTAAAAATAAAATTATGCGAGGAACCTATTCTACAATACCCAAATTTCTCTGAAATTTTTAATTTAACTACTGATGCTAGTAATTACGCAATAGGAAGCGTTTTATCTCAAGGCTCAAAGTCGGAAGATTTGCCTATAGCTTATGCTAGTAGAATCTTGAATAAAAGTGAAATTAATTATTCGACTACTGAAAAGGAATTGTTGGCAATCGTATGGTCTGTAAAACATTTCAGACCATACCTGTATGGACGGAAATTTAGAATAATAACAGATCACAAACCTTTAACTTGGCTAATGAATGTTAAAGATCCTGGATCTAGATTAGTTAGATGGAGACTTCTATTAGAGGAATATGATTATGAAATATATTATAAACAAGGTAAGTTGAATCAAAATGCCGATGCTTTAAGTAGAATAAAACCAGAAAACACAGAATCAGAAGAAGTTATTAAAATTCACAGTGTTACAAAAAATGGGGAAAGTTATTCATCATTTTTAAAAGAAATGGAAAGAAAACCTATTCTATATAACAAACTCAACGAACATAACGATAAGCTTCCAAATAACGGAAATAGTATTGTATTTACATCAACTGATTTAGAAATTGAGAATGATAAGAAGTTGTTAGAATACGAAACTTATATAAAGGAATTAAAATCAAAGAAACCAGTTCAATATGAAGTTTTAAGTATACAAAATAATGGAAGTAAAGTATATTTTACCTTCCCAAAGCTGAACTATTGGGATAATTTATTGGGCATATTTGAATGTTTTAAGAATCTAAAACATGCATTAGTACAAGAAAAAGTTAAAGAAATTAATTTAACTAGTTTTTGTAATTTTCATCTTAAATGGCATAAAGTTAGAACCATAATTAGGTATATATTTAAAGATACGGAAATATCAATCAACATTTTTCATGGGAGAGTTCAAATGATAAAAAGGGAGGATATACCATCTATTTTAGAAGAAAATCATTCAAATGTTATGTCAGGGCATACAGGCTTTCATAAAACTTATAAGAAAATTAAAGCCAACTATCAATGGGACACAATGAAAAAAGATATTAAAGATTTTATTAAGAAATGTGAATCTTGTCAAAAGAATAAAATAAATAGGAAAAAATATATAAAGCCTATGGAAATTACCTCAACTTCTACAAACGCATTTCAAAAAATAGCTCTGGACATTGTAGGTCCATTACCCTTATCAGAAGACGGAAATAAATACATTTTAACATTGCAGGATGACTTGACAAAATACACTCAGGCATATCCATTGCCTAAACATGATTCTGAAACGATTGCAGATTGTTTTGTTCGTAATTTTATATGTAAATTTGGAATACCAGAGATATTATTAACTGATCAAGGAGCAGATTTTACTTCTAATTTAATAAAAGAAATTGCGAAATTATTTAAAATAAAAAAAATAAATACTAGTGCGTATCATCCACAATCCAATGGCGCATTAGAACGTAGTCACTCGACATTAGCAGATTATCTAAAACATTACGTTAATGAAGATCAAACTAATTGGGAGAAATGGGTAGATTTTGCTATGTTTTCATATAATACAAGCGTTCATACCTCAACCCAGTTTACACCATTTGAGTTAATATTCGGTTTCCAAGCAAACTTACCTAGTTCAATTATTAAAGAACCTGAATTTAAATATTTTTACGATACATATTTAGACGAACTTATATTAAAACTACGAAAGTCAAGAGAAATAGCTAGAAATAAATTGATATATTCAAAAGAATATAATAAGCAAATTTATGATAAGAAATGTAAAAATGTAGAATTTAAAGTAGGAGATAGAGTATATTTAAGTAACGAGGCAGTTAAGATAGGAAAATCACGGAAGTTATCGCCGTATTGGATAGGACCTTATAAAGTAATTGAAGTTAATTCATCAACCAATGTAACGATTAAAGTTAAGAATAAAAAGTTAAAAGTTCATTCCAATAGATTGAAACATGCATTTGTTTCAGAATGAACCTGGTTCGTGCTATAATATTCCTGACATGGATAAAGTACGTAACAACTAGTGATAGTTCTTTTAGTATTAGTATAATAGATAAAGGTGGCATTTATTTTGAAAATTTAGGAAAAGTTAATTATTTTGACAGCGAATGGAATTTAGTAACATACCTTAATATAGCTGATATTCATAGGAAAATAAATTTGGTTCATAATACGTATATTAAGACTAAAGATCTTTGCAATCATGAATCATTTAATAAGTATTCTTTGTGTCAAACTTCACTCATTATTTTAGAACAACTAATTCCCCAAATGTCTATGCAAGAGAATGTTCTAAAAGAAATAACTGGATTTCATAATTATAGAGTAAAACGGTCTTATATGGACGGAGTTGGTAATATTTTTAAAGTTTTATTCGGAACTTTAGATGCAGAAGATGCTAAGAAATACAATGAGGCAATAGAAAATTTAGATAACAATGAACATGAAGTTTTACAATTATTAAAATCGCAATCGAATGTAGTAAAATCAACTATTTCTAATTTTAATAGTACGATAACTGATTTTTATACAAATGAAAAAATATTTAATGAAAATTTAAACTTGCTATCTAACTATACAAAAGATATTGGAGATAAAATATTTAGTATTAAAATGAAACAAGATGTTGATGAACATATGTCATTATTGACTTTACTAACTACTGAAATTGAAAATGAAATTTCTATGATTATTAATGCAATTTTATTTACTAAAAATAATGCAGTTCATCCTGTTATAATAACGCCAGAACAATATGGTATTGAATTAAGAAAGACAGTATCTTATTTACCACCTCAGACTAAGTATCCTCTAGATATTAATGAAAAGAACGTACCAGAATTATTGTCATTAGTAAACTTAGTGTCATATATTTCAAACGATAAACTCGTATTTATAATTAAAACTCCTTTGATTACTCAAGCTAGTTACGATTTGTATAATGTTTTACCTGTACCAATTAAAAGTAGAGACGAAACTTTTATATTTGTTTTACCTAACTTTAAGTATTTTTTGATGTCGAATAATAAAATTCATTATACCAGTTTACAAAATTTAGATACATGTAAGAAACTTCAAGATAATGTAAGATTTATATGCAAATTAGCAACACCATTATATTCTGTTCATACTAGTAAAACATGTGAAACAGAACTTATGTATGGAATTCAAAATTACCAAAAGAATGTGACACTAGAGTTGGTTACATAACCACTGAGCAATGGTATAAATTATATAGTGATAATAATTGGATATTTGTAACGCCTAAAAAAGTAATTGCTACATTGAATTGTAAAAATAAAGAACCAATAGATATTGAATTGATTAATACAGGTATATTGAAAATTTCAGATAGTTGTAAGTTATACACAACAAATATTGTATTGCAGACACAAACTTTAGGTTTTGAAAGTCATTTTAATTCCATCTTACCACCAATTGATATTGTATTAGATGATTGTTGTAAAAATATAAAAAGTAAAAATATAACGAATATAAATTTTGTACCAATTAAAATACATGAAAAATTAGATTTAGAAAGTCTAGACTTAGCAAGTCATAAAATCGATAAAATTAATGATATTATTGATAAAATAGGAAATCAGTCAATTTATAATAAGGTTATGAATAATGCTTACTTTGCGTACATAATGTTTTCAATTTTAAAAATGATTTTTATATATATTATTTATAGACTAGTTAAATATTTATGGAAAAGACATTTCTTCTGTAATAGAAATGATAGAATATTAGCATTAGAAGATACCAAATCATGTTGTGCACGAATCACTAACTGTATTACATTGAAAGTTAATAATTCTGATAACAGGGATATAGAGTTAGAAGAAATACCTTCTACGTCAACCACACCAGATATACCATTAAGACGTAGCGTTAGAATCGCTCAATTAAAGATAAATTAAATAAATGAATTATGTACTGAATGTTTTGCAAGGCATATCTTTCTATGTTTAAGTTTTATTTAAGAAATTGTTAAGAAATGTTTAAAATAAACTTTGTTTATTTTCTTAAAGGGGGAGGATTGTAATATTTCATAATATTTCAAGTAGATTTTTATATTGTATTTGTAAGTACACGTTGTTTTTCGAAATTAAATTATTATTCATAGAGATAACTAATAACCAGAATAGAGTCCAATGGTTTGTTTACACTAACAGCTATCTAAAGATATTGTTGTGATCATTAATTGTTTACTTTTCCCAAAGTTTAGCATTTGTTCTAACAATGCATTAACGATGTTTGTATAATAATTAAGAATAACTTAAATACTCCTCCACCCGATTGTAACAGGCAGTCCTGATCGACAGTCTAGTTAAGCTCTTTTCGTTTTAAGTGTCTATAATAATAAATATTATTAAATAATTCGTGACACTGCGTGGTTGTTATTTTCAAGGCCCCTTCTGACCACCGAACATTACAATATTATAGTTAGTGACTATAAAAAATAATACGTTAACTCTTGGAAAAAACTTTGTAGGTAATAGGTACTTAGTACACGACGACATGGCCGTAACGTGGCTAATTATTCGCAAATTTAATTGACACGTTTGAAACCTAGCAATTTTTATTCTGACGTAATAATTACAACTCACAAAAATTTATTGTCTTTCAAAACGTGCATCATAATATGATAAGAAACAAGACTGGTTTATAGATAACACTACATGCATTGAACTAGTGAACAATATATTGTTTAAATACATTTTAAGTGATATCGCAACTAATATCAAGAGCTGTCGGCTTTATATAGGTTCATATAACACAGCTACATAGCCTTCGCAGTTCGCAGACACGCGTGGAACGACTCACGCTTACCTCATTGGAGCTCACGTACGCCGCGTAGCGATCGTTCAAGTTCGGCCGGCAGCCGCGCTACTCGTTGTGCTCCGCTGTCCACGTTATATTCATACCCACGTCACTGCTCATTTTATTTCTCGCTCACTCAGCTCGACGCGGTTTTTCTTCCAACTGTAGACTGTGTGTGTGTAGAGTTCAGACGACAGACAGTACATTTTTGGTAGGGACAGTGGCAGTTTGTGTCAATAATAGTGAAAAGTTTGTAGTTTCGCGTTAATTAAGTATTAAAAGTTTATAAGTGTCCTTGTTCTTTTATAGTGTTTTAAATTAACATAAAGGACTGGACATCAATTGCACAATGTCAGACAACACACAAGATATTCTCAAAGAAACTGCAGCGGCGGCGGCTATCAGTGGTTCACTGTTTAGTACTTTTGATATATTTATGCTTGTCACTTTATTTGGTGCAGCTGTTTGGTGGCTGTATAGTTCTAAAAAAGAAGATAAAAAGGATGAATTACTCCTTCATAATTATGCCATACAGTAAGTACATTTTCGTACCTATTTAATTCGATTTAAATCACGTCCTTACGCAAAAAAACATTACAGACAATTATAGGCAGTAAATACGATCCTAATAATACCTGTATCTATTTTATAATTACACATTGCAAAAAAATGTATATTTTAGTAAATAAGTTAAGTTTATAATTTTAATGTAAAATAAACCTTTAAAAGACCCTTCACGCTGGCTTGTAAAATATTGAAGTCATTCACACAGAGCACTAAAATGGCAAATTCTCTGTAGCAGACAGCAGTAACTACAGAATACAGATAAAAAATATTAATCAATATTATGAAATCGACAAGAATAAGTAATTACTTAAGAGTTTATTTGGTTAATTCTAAGTTTATTCGTATTACTTTATGAAATAAAATGCAAAATGTTTTCTTTCGGCTCATGATTTTGCTGTGAGCATAAGATACTTACATCATACTGCGTATAGCATAGATTAAATGTAATAGTAAAAAAAAAGTTTGTGTGTACTTTATGTACGTAAGAAGTTATATACTTTTTTGGCGTAAAAGCGGCTACTCACATTCCTGCCGCAGGGACAATCTAAGGCGTAAAAGTGGGGATGAACTTGAATTGCCACCTAAACTCAGGGTTTTCCTCTAAATTTAGGGGTAAAAAAATTGCACCGGGGTTTTCCTTAATAGTACGACTTAAATATAAATAACGCTTTATAAAGCTTCTTTTAAAGACTTGAAAAAATCATATATCTTTAAATATCATTTGCATCATTTATCCTTTTTTTTAATTATTATTTTCTAAGTTACCTCTGAAATTTATTATTATTATTAAATGGTTATATATAATTATTATAATAATAACCATAAATAAGTTTTTACGCTATTTGTAATCATTTAAAATAAAAATGATTAAAAATGAATAAAATGTGTATTAGACAAAAACCTACAGTTTTAAAATTATCAGTTAGAGGGTTTTAGGAATTTTTGGAATTACTCTTAGGGGGATAATTACAGCAACACTGTCCTTTAATTTTTCAATAATACTGGAACCATTCTTAACGCGTGCGTTTAGCTCAACATCTACCAGAACACTGAATAACAAACATGTGTGTAGAGAGTAGAGACAGCTCCGATATAGTCCCGACTGCTATGCTTCCTAGATTGCCCCTACGGCAGGGATGTGAGTAGCTGGTCCTGGTCAGTGATGGTCTCCTTTAGTGAGACCGTCATTTCACTGAAGGAGACGGCGGAGAGGGAACGCGAGGCTAACGCCTTAGCGGACCCTCTTCGTCGACGTCGGCTGGGGGAGAGGAGGCGCCGGTATGCGCATCTTCTCCCGCCACCCTAGAGGAGTTACTGCGGGGGGGGGGGTCTCTCGTTGACTCCCCTGCACGTCATCGGGGCGGTCGGGATGCTCTGTGAATCGAGGGCATCCCGATTTAGGCGAGGATGGCCCGCGAGGTATGGGCGGACCGCAGGGGTGTTGTAGTGAATGCGCAAGCGATCCTGCAACGCCCCATTGCACTGCGGCGACGGGTTCCGCTGTGGGTTTTAGTGAGTAGGAGTCTCACAGTACCTAGTCCGTTATGACGGCGGGCAGGGGTTCCCATGATGGGTTTCCCCAGCGTCAACAAAAAAAAGGGATGTGAGTAGCCGATCTAACAGAACAAAAATGGCTAAAGATTTCATCCCGTATGTCACAACTCTGTTTATAAAAGGAATGCAGCTAACTTCGTCATGTCGCTTTCATCTAACTTTATCATGTGGCTTTTTGGCTGTCAGTGTGCGTGCGCATCGTAAAAATTTATTTACTCTCATTTTTTTCCAAATGTGCCAAAAAAAGTATAACTTAAGTTTAAGAAAATCCATACATATAATAAAAGTGTAATTGATCGCTGTCTGTACATAGAAGATATTTAAGAAAATACTTTTATTGGAGGGTCTTTATTAACACAATAGAACCCAAAACAATGATTTTTTTGAATATTTGTCTGTGCGTTTGTGCACGCTAATCTCAATAACGACCTAACCGATTTGGGTCCGGTTTTCACTAATGTATTGTGGTATGCTTCACATAACTTTTAGCACGGTAATGTTATACGTACAGTATTGGAACTCGGCCCTGTCCTTGAAATAATTGCCTACAGCCGCGCGGTACGTAACCAGTTAACCACACGACAGGGCTGCCCGCCAACAGTATTTATCATCTACCTACTTGAGTTTCTTTCTAGTTTTGTGATTTCAAATATTATATTTTTTATTTAAAAAATATTTTTAGCAGATTTAATTAAAAAATCTCAAATTTATAAGGGTGGTATGTGACCCTTATAAATTTGAGATTGAAAAATATTTGCGCCTCGACTGAGACGTACGAAAAGTTTTCTTCTTAAATTGAATAGTAAAAAAAATCCGCATTCGGATAAAAAGTTTAATTAAAAATACTTTATTTTTAATTTTTAATGGAATTAATTAATTTTTATTTTTAAAACATATGATGTCTCGATACTTTTTTGTTTGACATTAGCAAAGTTACGGGAAGAATAAAATGTTTATTTTTGTATCCAGTTATAAAAGTTACATAACATATCCAATTATACGATCGGGCAGCCCCGCACGGTTGTCTACCATATGTATACCGAACTCGAGGCGCGTGGGTATAACTCGATTTCCGACCGTTTGTATGAAGATGGAATACTGTATATAACATTACCGTGCATTTAGTATTTGTTTTATTTCAATCGGTTTATAAATAAAAAAAACGTGTGTGTGTACTTATGTACACACGTAAGGACTTTAAGAAGTTATACTTTTTTGGCCTAACAATAAAAATAGTAAAGATTTTATCCCGTATGTCACAACTCTGTTTGTAAAAGGAATGCAGCTAACGTCGTCATCGCGTCGATTTCATCTAACTTCATCATGTGGCTTTTTGGCTGTCGGTGTGCGCGCCTATCGTAAACTAAACTATCGTAACTAAACGTGCCAAAAGAAGTATAAGTTCAAAAAGTTTTGTCAATTTAAAGAATCACCTATCACTAGTTTTAAATAAATGACTATTTCTTTCTCTTAATCGTATAGTGTTACTTATTGCCCCAATTGCTAATCAAAACAATAATTTTAAATCAACAGTAAATTCTATATGGTATATTTATTCTCACAATTCAAAGTCCAAAGAATTGCTACGTGAACATCGTAAAATTAATGTTATCTATTAATTCTAAAATTATATTACCTACTCAATTTGGTCACGCGGATCGGTTTCGCGTGGCAACTACATTGATAAAAAAGGTCATAAAATAAGCCTATGCGTTAATCCAGGATATTAGATACTTCCATATCGAGTTTTATTCAAATCCGTTGAGCCATTACAGAGCAAAGCAAAGCCAGAGATAGGTATTGTTAATTACTAATAAGTGTTGTCATTTGAAATATGTTTTGATAATTCTAATACATTATAACTATTCTAAATCATACACAATAATCCATAATATTATTTCATAAAATCTATACTACAAATACTAGCTCTTTGTAACAACAGAAATCCGCGTCAAATAAAAAAGTCAATTTTTTTAGGTTCCGTACAATTTTTAAATTATTTATCTATCAGTTTAGTTAGATTTATTATTTCATGCAATATTTTAAAATATATCACACAAGGTTTTTAATAAAAAACTGCAATGTCCGTTTTCTGTATCGCGCAGAGCGAATGTTAACTTTGACTTTCGTAATATGAATTATGTATAATCATAAATTGTTTATCATGGTCACGGATGCGTATGTATGTGGAAAATGACACTGCGCAGTATTCAGAAATCTCTCATATCTCATAGCACCCATATATCTAATATTCTTATTTCATTCGTAGTAGTAGTATGCATTCGTAGTAAACTTGTGTTAGTGAAGTCTATCTTACAGGATACGGGATAGGCATTTTATGTTCGCAGCATTAACTGAGTCATATAAAGTTAAGCCAAGATAGAAGAAATAATTAAATTAGAAGGAAATAATTTAAGAGAGCAAAACATGATAAAATGTATCACGAACAATTGCGTTGATGAATAGTGAAAAAAAGAAACGATGATATTATAAAATTACATACATATTATATACATACATATTAGATATACTGAAACATTTTTTTTTCAAAATGAAAACTAATAGCATTAATTAATGTCGCAGGTGCTAAACTAATAAAGTAAAACAAAATATCCCATAATTCTAAGAAGTGTATTTGGTTTTTTTTTAAAGGTTGGGAAATGTATAATGCATACCACCTATACAGGTGTGTTTTTGAGACGGGTCAGTAAGTGCAGGTTGCATGGTGCGACTTAACTGTTATAGTTACAGGAAAACGTTCCCAGGAGACCATTCATAACTTTTTGAGATAATCTGAACTGCATTCAAAAATTTTGGAAAAACATTACAGTGAGCGAAAAAAATACTAAAATACCGAAAAAAAAAACATTTTTTTTTTCAATCGATCCTATTTAATGTAGGGATCAAAAGACTCTATGGGACCATTTAAGGTATGAGTACTAGAAATGACAGAAATCGCCAAAAACTTTCCTATATATTTTGTACGGAAAAACGATTAATCAACTCGAAATATTCTTTGTTGCCAAACGGTCCTATTTCTTACTGCAATCAAAATACTCTTTGAGGCCAACTGCAGTTTGAGTACAGAAACTACGGTAAGTCACAAGACCGGGCTTACATGCAGGCATTTTGATGCAGTGGGCATAAGATAATTTTTACAGTGTAATCCCATTTAAATTTGAAAAAAAAACCACCCCTAAGTATAGAAAATAGGGGATGATTGATTTATACTCTTCCTACTTTGCTACTACATACTATGTCTACACTAAAAATGGAAAAACAAAATCTTAAAAAATTACCGACCTCAAAAAAAAAACACTAAAAAATAAAAAATAACTGATAGGTAGTTTTCATTTACTATGGATACTTAATCAGATATTTTCGAAGTTGTGCCAGCCGATACAAATTGAAGCACACCGACTTCGAAAGACATCTAATTAGGTAGGTATCTATAATAAATGAAAACTTCGAATCAGTTATTTTTTACTTTTTAGTGTTTATTTTTTGAGGTAGGTTTTTATTTTTATTTTTTTTAAGTTTTTATTATTTATCTCCTAGTATTTGCATTAGGAAAGTTGGAAATTTTTGAATAGATATATTCACGTCATGTATTAAAAAACAGCGATTAGGTTTACCGTGATTATCATCAGACAGCGCTAGTATAAATAACCAATAATCGCATAATCATGATAATAAATTACGCGCTACGATTGACATAGAAGTATTATTTTAAAATTTAGGATTAGATTAGATTTCCTTAGAATGACACAACACTATACAACAGCAGTTTCATTATAGAGATAACATAATATCGAGTAGGCAAGTGTTATGCAACACTGCTTGGGGCGATACGTGGAGAAAGGAAGTGGAAAATAATGGTACTTTTTCTATCTTTGTTTCATTACATCTGCGCGTTAGATGACTTTATATGGCGCATAATTCGAAATGCGTAATAAATAATAGAAGAAAAAAATTGACATCTAGATAATGTCATAACGAAACCTATAGTATATAATAACAAATCTGTTTATTATATAAAATAACTAGCGGACCCGACAGACGTTGTCCTGTCTACACGTCTTTAATTTGAAAATTTCAAACTTTTTTTAATAATTTTTTTGATGAAAATTATTATTCAAATTGTGAATCTAAACCATTCCCAGATCCCCTTGAACACACACAAAAAATTTCATCAAAATCGGTCCAGTCGTTTGAGAGAAGTTCAGTGACATACACACTCACAGAAGAATTATATATATAAAGATAACATGATACAGTTTGATAGTCGATCTTTATATACCAGGGTTGATAATTTTTGAAACCAAAAAAAGTTAATTGTAGGATAAAATGAATTGAAAAAGGAAGAGAATATAACAAAAATGAAAGGAAAAATAATTTACGGTCGATCTGAGGTCGGGAAGTTGAAGGGGGTGAGCTTTTAAGGGTAAAAAGCGGTTTATCCGGCATTGTATTGCCGGCATTCATTTGTATTTCCGGAAAAACTACAAGTTCTATGAAAAAAAGTTAAAGGGCAATGTTGTAGGAAAAAAAAATTCTATAACTTTTGTATTTACACTTTTTTCACATAACGTCAAAATTTATGTGAAAAATTTAAATAACCAAGTTTTTGGTTTTTTATTTTATTTTTTTACAAAATAAAATAAAAATCACGAATTTGGTGAATACTTACCTTTTTATGTCCCAAACACACTATATTTTTTAAATTTAAAATATTTATTTTTTCACCTTATTTTGACCTAATATCGAAAAAGCACCCCAATTTTCTATCGAAAATTCTCTCGTCAAACTGTCTGGTGTTCAGTCGGTTTTTTAGGTTTTTTTATTGCCATTGAGAAATTATTAAAGTGGAAATAAGTTATGTCTAAACAGTATTTTCTCCCACTTTAGGCCAGCAGGATCTATACAAGTGACAGAAAATTCTTTTATAAAGAAATTACAATCGTCAGGTAGAAGTCTCGTTGTGTTCTATGGGTCACAAACAGGCACAGGGGAGGAATTTGCAGGTCGTTTAGCCAAAGAGGGCATTCGATACAAAATGAAAGGCATGGTGGCTGACCCTGAAGAATGCGATATGGTATATATTTTAATATAATATTGTATTTATAGCATGATGTTTAATGTGTTTATTAAATTATAATATAATTTTAGGAAGAACTCACTAAACTCAAAGAAATCGAAAATTCGCTAGCAGTATTTTGTTTAGCAACGTATGGTGAAGGAGATCCAACAGATAACGCAATGGAATTTGTTGAATGGCTCAAAAATGATAATGATCTTACAGGATTAAATTATGCTGTAAGTACATAATATGTTTAGGTTAAATGTTAATGTAAATAAATACTTAAAAATGTGTAAAATAATATAAAAATATTTATCTTAGAATTATTAAATTTTAATAAAGTAAAAAATATTTAACAATTTGTATATTCCAATCCATTAATAATTTATTTAACCAAAATCAATATGTATGCTTCCAATGTGTCAATAAGAGTCATTTAATTTAAATAACAATAATATTAACTCGGTTTGTTAGTGCAGACATATTTTTCAGTGAATCTAAAATCGATTTAATTCAATACGTTGTGTACTTACAATTAAGTGCGGCTGAATAATACTTTAATGTAGTCCATCAAATCTAAGAAATTCACTTTGGCAGCTGTAAGACTGACTTGTTTTATACAATGTAAAAATATAGCAATACTTAATAGAATCACCAGATATAGATGTTTAAAAATGTTAAAGTTATAAGTTAATTATAAACATATAATTTTAATTGATTCTTTATAATTGAAAGTTTTTTCGTTTTTTAAGACAAAACTCAGAAAGGGGATAAGTTTAGTGCAAAATAATACTAAATAAATTATTTCGACATAAAATTTATTATAGTTGGTTAAATTAAGTAATTCGGAAATAAGTATTGCTTTCGCAGAAATGAATGAATGAAAATGAAACTTTATATAATTCTACTGAATTCTTGCCAAGAAAGTGGTTCGATTATTTCTAATAGTATCTGGGCTACCGAGCTTCCCTCGGCGTTTTTGTCCTAAAATACAATTTTCTTTTTTTTAAACTAAAAACTTGAATAAATATTAAAAGAAAAACAAAAGTAAAAATTTTGTATGCGACCGAGATACGACCCTGGACACCTTGGCCGCTTGACCACGATGCTTATGTCCGAGCGTGCAAATTACCGACCATATTTTGCGTGGAATAATGCAAAAGAAAACTGCTAAAACTAATCTAGATCGATTTATGGTCCCCGAAACCTCCTGTATACTAAATTTCGTGAAAATCGTTGGAACCGTTTCTGAGATTCAGATTATATAACACAATATATACAAGAATTGCTCGTTTAAAGATATAAGACTGCAATATTTTTACTGATACCGAAACTGAAATTGTCGCGACACTACCGTAAAGAGCTTAATGACGTAGGTAACATTGTAATATCATCAACTCAATTTACAATTTGGGTTATTGTTTTTGTTTTTAGTCTTATGAGTTTCAACTTTAGATTATTGAATAGAAATGTTACATGTAATTATAATTAAATAAATAATATTTTTTTGATATTTTAGAATTCATTATACGAAATCATAATATATATATATCGTTGTATTAAGGCTATTGCATAATAAAAATTGCGAAACGTCAAAATGTAAATCTAAGCCGCGTTGACACGTTCAAAGTCTGCATTAACAAAGTAGTTTCGATAAAAAACTTTAAAATGAACTTCACGTTCATAACGGTTAACACCTACATACGCGGACATCAATGTGTGCTTTAATTGCAGTTTACACGATCAATGTAGTTGTCAATAATAATCAAATAATGTGGTTATCATTATGTAGACTTTGATCGTGTCGACGCGGCTTTAGATTTGATAGACTATAAAGCCATAAAAGTAAATGTGTCTCTGCTTTTTTGACATTTGAAATGTCATTATTAACACGTCAAGTGTCAACTGTCAGGCTACATTGTTGTCAGTTATCACTTGTCTGTTGATTTTATTGAATTAAATTATATATATTGATATTCGGCTAGTTGCCTATAAAGTTATTAATTAACAATAATGTTTATTATGTGCACAGTCAATTCATAGTAATTGCTAGGAAAATATATGTAACGTCTTGCGAAATGTTAAGTTTAAGGTTACGTTATAACAATAATTTGAGGGTTTATAACAATGTTTAGCTTGATTACTATTGTATCTCTGAAAATTTTACCTCGTTATGTCACCAAATTTTTATATAGGAAACAAATTAAGTCACCGCTGGTAAAATTAAGTCACATGGTATTAAATATATGTCTTTAGTAACAGAAATGTTCCTAGTTTAAATTTTATTAAAATGCGAATAAAACAAGTTTATTTTTACCGTTTTTTTAGGTTTTTGGACTTGGGAACAAGACTTATGAACATTATAATTCTGTAGCTACTTATGTTGATAAGCGGCTTGAAGAACTTGGAGCCACAAGAGTTCATGAACTAGGGTTAGGAGATGATGATGCAAAGTATGTACTTATTTAAAATTATTAGAGAAATATATATTAAAGTTTTATTGTACATACATTTTTTATTTTAAATAATATAAATTTTGTAGTATTGAGGATGACTTTATTACCTGGAAAGATAAATTCTGGCCATCAGTATGTGAGAAATTCAATATTGAAAGTACAGGAGAGGAACAGCTGACACGGCAGTTTAATTTAATAACACATTCACCAGATGAAATTTCACCAAATGAAATATTTACTGGGGAAATTGCTAGGCTACATACACTACAAAAACAGAGGCCGTAAGTTATCATTATAATAAATATAAATATTCTATTTCAATATTACTTGATATAGAAATTATTTTTACTTTTTATTTTTTCAGGCCTTTTGATGTAAAAAATCCATTCTTAGCTGAAATAAAAGTAAACCGAGAATTGTTTAAAGGTGGTGACAGATCATGTCTGCATATAGAATTAGATATTTCTGGCTCAAATATGAGATATGAAGCTGGTAAATTGTCTTTTTTGTGGGATAATAATTAAAATTGTTGAGATTATTAGAGTTGGCTTAACACAAATATTGTTTATTTTTAGGTGATCATGTAGCCGTGTATCCAATTAACAATAAAGACTTAGTTGAACGCCTTGGGAAATTGACAGATGCTAATTTAAATGAAGTTTTTTCACTAGTAAACACTGATCAAGAAAGTACCAAAAAACATCCTTTCCCCTGTCCCACATCTTATCGCACTGCGCTGTCACACTACCTAGAGATCACAACATTGCCTAGGACACATATTCTCAGAGAGCTTGTTGAATACTGCTCTGATGAAGAGGTAAGTGTAAATTTCAGATCTTCTATAATCATTAATTTTTGAAGAAGTTATTTTGTAGCATTTATTTCTTTTTATTCATTGTTATATCAAAAAGATTTTATTTTTTAGGATAAAAATAAACTTTTACTTATGGCCACAAATTCTAAAGAGGGCAAAGAATTATATCAGTCATTTGTGGTTGATGCATGCAGAAATATTGTACATATATTAGAGGATATCAAGTCATGTAAACCACCTCTGGACCATATTTGTGAATTATTACCACGCATTCAACCAAGATACTATTCTATTTCATCCAGTCCTAAGGTATGTCATAAATTTTAACATTCTTTTTAATTAGATTGTGTAGAAAATAATTTTCTATAAGAAAGACTTAATACAAAGTATGTAATCAATAATTGTTAATTAATATGCTAAACATAACCCTAAAGACCAAAAATACTTAAATGATCTTATTGTTCATAGAATATTTAAACATCACATATATATTATTTATCCATTGTCAATTGTTATTATGAAACTATTGGTACATATATAATTGCCAATAAAATTTTTCAGCTGCATCCTGAGACAGTTCATGTGACGGCAGTGGTTGTGAAGTATACAACTCCGACAGGAAGAATTAACAATGGAGTGGCCACAACATGGCTAGCGGACAATAAGCCTGAGCCCGGCACCCCCGGCCCACGGGTCCCAGTGTACATTAGAAAGTCACAATTTAGGTAAGTCTTATATACTATTCTTTATTGCACTTATATGTAAAATACAGAGATTAACAAACAATAAAATTAGTTGGCAAAGATGGACTTTTCTCTAGAAGAGAGCTCTTCCAGTCAACCTAAGTGAGTTGGAGAGATAATATTAAAAAGCAGGCTAAAGTGCAGTTACTCAAATATAAATACTTAAATAAATATATATTATATATACATATAATGAAACATTATATGTATATACTATATACCATAACATATGTACATACACAAATACATATATATATAAAATAATCCATAATAATAGTAGTTAATATAATTGTGGAATAAGTTGGGTGAGAAGGTGCTGTTATATTTTCTTTTTAAAGGCAGTTATAGAGGGACTTAATTGGATGTTTTTCGGGAGTTTGTTCCAGAGCAGAGTCTTTTTATATTTTACAATTTAACGGTGTATTTCATTTGTTAAATTGTGAACATTTCATCGATACAATGTCACTGAATGTACTCAGGGAAATTATAACGTTACTGATATTGTCCCTCGATATTCTAAGAAATTGAGACGATTGACAAATCGTTAGTGAAATTATAATATTACGAATTTTACAATCACCCTGCAACAATTTGATCTCTTGGAATGTAAGACTAGCCTTGTGTAAAGTTATTATAAACCGGGCAATGATAATAATAATTCTTACACAATATTACTATTTATATTATGCATATCTTCATAATAATAAGTCTGTTATAATGGCCATTTTGTAAAAAAAAAATTAACTTCAAGGCCACGTTTTTTAAACTCACAATGCCAATTCATAAATGAAAGAGCAAATGTTTGCATCGTATTTATATATTTTTTATACATTATACCCACTTTGTAAAGTTGAAGGAGTTTTTTGTTTCAACGCGTTAATCTTTGAAACTTATAGTAAGTTTGATATTTTGCATCTTATATCCTATATATTACGATCCTTAGATAATTTCCTCAATTAACATAAATACCTACTCTACGCAAGCAGATCTGCAGTCTAATACTAGTTTTATTTATAGTAGGTATTTAACACAACCATCAGTTCGCGATATCTATATCTATATACATAATAAAATTGTAACTAAGCCGAATCTGTACATTAAATATTTTTTACAAAATCTTATTGAAATAGACATTATTATCGATACAGAGGCCGAATCAATAGTTTTTCGAAGTTTTGTCTGTCTGCCTGTGACCGCAGCACGGAAAAACACTGGAGGGATTTTGATGAAATTTGGTATGATGATAGCTAGTTATCCGGGTCAACATATAGGATACTTTTTATTGCCGGAAAATATCTCATCTCTGAAAAATCTATAATAAACGTTAAAACGTAAGCAGTAAATAGGATGCACCCGAGCGGGGAGCGTGGGTGAGTTGCTAGTTGATATTGTAAAGAGACAGAGTTTGTTTATTTGACTGAACGGGTTAATCTCAGGCAGGGTTCGAAACGATAATTATCATTGATAATTATCTTTATAAAATATTTAATGTTTAATTTAATAATAAATAAATTGTAACTCTTCAAATTGTCGATCATCAAACTGAACTCTCTCAATCAGCTCACAAAACTCAATCAGCAAACTGAGTTGATGCAGTTGAGGACGATGAGGATGATATTCCACTCATTAAGGAGTCTGCCCACTACACCATCTCATACCATGACCGTGCTATGAACGGATCAGGAACAGAAACAAGCGACACGGACTACTATGCCCACTAGAACGTATCATTCGCGTATCATCCGCGTGTTATGTTCGTATAGTTTCCGTTTTCTCAGTCGTAGTAGCGCGAGGCAGCTGCGTCAGAAAGAGCGAGTGACAATTTTTTTTACGAAAATTATTTCCTATACCTATACGATGGCTATTAGAAACTTGTCTGACAGAAAATGAACAATGATAGCCATTGTTTTAGACGAGGCAGAAAGAGAATAACATTAGTCGATCACGACGTTACTAGGTTCACGCTGTTTTAAAAAATATATAATTTAAAAGAAAATATTATCACTAGAAGACAAGCGACAACACGTTTATAACGGGCTTACAACGGTCATCTTACGTAGTTATAACCCGTGTGTTCACCGTTCCGACGTCCGCGCGCACCGGTTCGGCAACGTCGCGTGCCAGACACGGAGCGTATCAGCACCGGTAAAATATTCTTGCCGACAATTATTGTTAACTTTCCAGGCACCGCACGCGACGTGTTGGTTGGTGACGGAAAGGTCTTGTTCGGTGATGGAACGGTCTAGTGGGCATAGTCTCATACTTTTCAATACAAAGAATATTTTTTTGCCTGACACGGTCCTGTTACGGTCCTAGCACGGTCATGGTATGAGAAGTTATAGTGGGCAGAGACCTTTAATTTAATTAAATAGTGTCTATATAGTTTATAAAATTTATTGTTTTTATTTCATAGTTTTTATATGTCAAAATAATAATAAAAGATTACCTTGATTGTTAAAAGTGTATAGTATATTCTAACGTAAGTTATGATAGGCAAGTAGTCAAATACCAATACCTACACAAGGATTGCTAAGTTTATATCTGTTTGATAATTATCGGATAATTATCTGAGAATTATCGCGATAATTATCAAAAGTTATATTTATCTTGATAATTTCATACCCTGATCTCAGGAACCACTTGTACGATTTGAAAAAATCTTTTTGCATTAGATAGCCCGCATATTCAGTAAGACTATAGGCTATATACACGGTAATCTAATGCATACAGTATTGCAACTCGGGCCTGTCCTTGAAATAATTACCTACACCCGAGCGGCACGTACCCACGCGACAGGGCTGCTATAAATTTGAAATTTGAAAATATTTGCGCCTCGACTGAGACGTACGAGAAGCTTTATTGTTAAATTTAATAGTATAAAGAATCCGCATTCGGATAAAAAGTTTAATTAAAAATATTTTAATTTTTATTTTTAATTTAATTAATTAATTTTTATTTTTAAAACATACGATGGCTCGATACTTTTTTGTTTGCATTAGCGAAGTTACGGGAGGAATAAAATGTTTATTTTGTATCAAATTATAAAAGTTACATAACATAACCACCTTATACAATTTTCGTATCCAATTATACGATCTGGCAGCAGGTTGTCTACCGAGTGTATACCGAACGCGACGCGCGTAGGTATAACTCGATTTCCGACCGTTTGTATGAAGATGGAATACTGTATGTAATATTACCGTGCTATATATTTTATAACATATAGTATATCTATTCAATATTAACCGTCACAACGTACCTAGGGGCGAACCCGAGTGAAGCGAGGGTGAGTCGCTAGTCTGCAATAGAAGAATAGTTTCAGAAATAGAAAAGTTTGTATATTATATATGAAATATGTACTTTTAAAATCTGTTTTCATGGAAATAGAAAATTATTTCGATTTTTTTTTTTAGTTATATTTTATTCTTTCAATTCTGTGTATGTTATTATTACATCAAAAACATTACTAAGGGATATTTCAATCAATGCAGTAGATGCAAATATTACTGCTTCATTTATATAGGTAAGTTGTTCACTTTATAAAGGTTTGGTAACACTGGGTAATAGGAAAATAAATGCTATGTACATATTTTTTTCTAATTCGTTTTGAATAAATGCTGCGTGTTTGTATAATATTCTTCGTAGAATTACTCATTTCAAAATAACCTTCATTTAAATCCATTCCAGTAAAGCGAGGTCATATTACGTACTGGATTTTTAATAACACTGCGAACAATATTGGAAACATTTAAACCATTAAAAGTAAATAAATTACTTAGAAAAAGTTTTTATAGTGTACAGTGGTATCTGTGATTTTTTATTATACAATACGAATGTGGTTTATTTTATTAGGTACGTTTTAATTTTTTTTGAGCAGTACCTATCTAATTATAATTTTGAATTATAAAATTGTGGTTTTCTTATAAGTACCAACAGTAACACTAAATAACGCTTTTAAATCACGGTCGTCTTTTAATACTATCAAATAAATTAAAGAAAGCAAAGTTTCTAACACTAAAATAATTGCCACCACGAGAAGTTATTTTTAAATGCGATTTTTTAACTGTTAGCAGCTAATTTCATGCATATTTAGTGTTGCTATGAAAACATTCAACATTCTACTATTACAGCACAAAAAATAGAAGAATTTGTAACGAATTTAGGATTAATAGTGTGCGTCGAAATATTTTTCCGGTTTTATCCCTATTCACCTCTCAATCCCTATTCACCCCATTTTACGGTACCGTATATAATTTCATATGCATTTAGTAAAATTTTATTTATCTGTACCTATGGACTAGCGACTTACCCTTGCTGCGCTCGATTCTAGGTACTCGCATTTTGTTCATTTTCTAAAATAAAAGTAGCCTTAGTTACTCTTTTTAACATCAACTATCTACCAGTGAAAGTCCCATGAAAATAGGTCCTGCTGTTTCGGAGATTAGCCAGAACAAACAGACAGACAAAAAAATTAAAAATTGATTTTTTTTCTTATTAGTGCAGTATATACTTTCATATGAATTTAGTAAATAACTGTTATTTTGACATTACAAAAAGGCACTTCAATTTTATTTATCTGTATAGATTATAAAATTGTATTGTGTAATAAAAATAAAATAAAAAAATATAAAGATTTCGTTGTCATCAACAATTAACAATTTCATTATTATCAGGGTAATACTTTTATCAAAATTCTCCGACTATTTACTCTTCATCTAAAAGTATATGTTTATGTACACAAATACGTATGTAGAACAGTTTTGTTGCTAGCGTGCGATTAATTGACATTTATTACTTAAATTAAACAATGACAGCTTTTAATTTCAAGGTTTTGGAATTGTGTTTGCTCCATAAAGCCGCGTTTACACGATCAAAGTCTACTTTGACAAATAGTTTTGATGATAGTGGAGACGTGTTTATTATAATATAATACACTTCTTTTCTAAGCTACTTTGTCAAAGCAGACTTAAAGCGTGTCAACGCGGTTTAAGTTTGAAAAGCATACATTTTCTATTATTTAGTAAGTATGTAATATAATTTTGAATTTTAATTGACAGATTCAATATTTAATGTCGATTATATTTGAAAATTAATAAATATGTGAAATTTATTCGTAAACTACTCAAAAGTTCGTAAATACATAGTTGTTAAGTAATGCAAAATATATTTTTATCAAATGAGATATTATCACAGTTTAAAAGCAACAGAACCTTCTGTATCATTTATGATAATAAAAATTCATTGTCACTATGATTAAAAGTATTCGAGATAAGTATAATTATATAATAGGTACATTTGCGATTCACTTTGGGGTCGTACCTACTTACGTTTTAACGTTTAATATAAGAAGATTTCTTAGAGATGAGACATTTTCCCGCAGTAAAAAGTATCCTATATGATGACCCGGATAACCAGCTATCATCATACCAAATTTCATCAAAATCCCTCCAGTTGGTTTTCCATGATACGGTCACAGACAGACAAAAATTCTAAGAACTATAGATTCGGCCTCTGTATCGATAATAATGACAATATTTCAATAAGTTTTTCCAAAAAAATGTTTAATGTACAGATTCGACTCATTTAAGAATTTTATTATACCGATGTATAGATAAAATATAAGAGATATTAAATTGTGTCTGTTTGTGTTTCTGATAAATTTTCGTAACATAAAATGATATTACTATCTCATTCAGTATGCCATAATAAAATTATTTATGGGATATTAGTGTAATTGTCTAGATCACATGTTGAAAATTGTGAAAATTAGAGATAAAGCTCCTAAAAATATTATGTGCGATAGCGCATTGGATCCGGAATGACGTCTAGAAAAATGTATTTAAACCGTTTTTGAGCATGTAAATAATTGCAAAAGTTATAAACAAAGATGAAAAAAGAAGGTATATATTTAATTTTTCCCTATAATACAAAAACTGTTAATAATTATTATATTACTTAACCAAAAATTAAATATTGCAAAAATCTTGTTCTATATATTTTTCGCTTCTTGGAGCCTTCATATATATACTCATATACTTAACAAGATCAATTTTCACCATTTTCAACTTGTGACCTAGACATAAAGCTTTCCGCTTCTATGTTAGGCTTACTGGACGACCTTGAATAATATATATGATTGGTGTTGTAAGTAAAGACAACCTCGTCGCACGCACAGTCAGTCATATTAGTTTCCTTAAATAAAACTTTGCATATTAATTAAATCATATATTATGTTAAAGTGGCTCGTAATATGTAGTTAAATAATTTTAGCAGCTTTCTTTATATACTTTAAATTTATTATTATAACTAGTGAATAACCCCATGGTTAAAAATTGGTCATATTTCATTAAACTTGAGTATTGAGGTTTTTTTGTTAAACTTACATAGGCAGATTTTCCTTTCTTAATAAATAGAGCCTCAGGGCTATCTAATATCACGCCGCAGCTTTCAGAAGAGGAGTAGGTAGTTTATACACAAGTAAACGCAAGAGCAATTCAATAAATTTTAACTTCCTGGAATACTTCTCCGTATAAAAACTATTCCAGAGCTCGTAGATACTCCTCAAAAATACATAAAATTCTTAGCTAATAATTGCTACGATAATTTTGAGACATATAATGTACTAGCATTGCCCGCGGCTCCGCCCGCGTTCATTTGACCAAAAACCAAATTCCTAGGTTTTACATATTAGTATACTCTTATATTGCAGTTTTTGTATTTTTCTCAGAAATGAGACATTTTCCCGCGGTAAAAAGTATCCTATATGTTGACCCGGATAATCAGTTATCACCATACCAAATTTCATCAAAATCCCTCCAGTGGTTTTTCTGTGATGCGGTAACAGACAGACAGACAGACAAAAATTCAAAAAACTATAGATTCGGCCTCTGTATCAATAATAATGTTTATTTCAATAAGATTTTCCAAAAAATATTTAATGTTCAGATTCTACTCAGAATTTTATTATATGTATAGATATACAGTTTAAGTTAAACAGATCCTTGTAGTTTATTTTTATCAAATCGTCAAGGTTTACTCGTACATATATCAGATAACTAACCATTGCTACTTGAAAAATTTGCATTTATATAATGAATATAATAATACCGTATTTTTGTTGATTAAGATAGTCAAAAATTAGCTTCCGTGATCCGTGTCTCTTATCATCTTTACAGTTTATATAGCGTTGGTGTAAAATATTATATTACGCACTTCTTATTCATTACATTTCTTTATTGCGTAGTTGAACTTGAATTGATAATTTGCATGGTTTCTTCTTAATACATACGTACATTTATTTTTATTACATTAATATGAAAAAGGTAAAAAGGAGAATGAGCTTTGGCATATGGTTTATATATATATATATTGAATTTATTAATACTTAGCTATGAAATATGAATGAAGAAAGCTAAATTTTATTAACTTGCTTTTGCCTATCGCTCGCGTAATTTATATGTATATTATGTATTATTCCCCGCTTCTAAAAGCTGCATCGTGATACAAAATAACGTCTTCATGAATTTCATAAATATTTTTTTGTTTGTTTGCCTGCACATGCCAATGTCTGGAACGACTGATCTGATTTGAAAAAAAAACTGTTTTGTATTTTATTGTCTATTGCCTGTAACCTAGGTTATCTGTGTAACTTTGACAAAAGTACCTTAATACACTTGATGAATTATGATCCATTTTCGTCCACGGGTCGATCACTAATATATTCTAAGGTTTTCTAATTTCTAATAAGTTTTCATAAGTATAAAATTATAAATGAGAGCAATTAAAGATTTTTGTTATTCATTTCTATAATATACATATATCCAGGTTACCCCTCCAAACTCAGACACCTATCCTCATGATTGGTCCTGGTACCGGCATAGCGCCCTTCCGCGGCTTCCTGCAGGAGAGATCATACGCGAGACAAAACGGCAAGGAAGTCGGGGATAGCGTGCTTTACTTCGGCTGCAGACACCGGGACCAGGACTTCTTATACCAAGAGGTAATTGATTTCCCACTATATGTTTTATAATATATCTTGTATGTACTTACTTAAATATGATATAATTTTGTCCTACACTATTTTTTCACCTTTTGTGAGGTCTACTTGTTTGGCTATGTTCATGAACTAATAAGTCTAATAAATAATTGAAATACCTAAATTTGCTATGCATTTGCTCTTATATATCGCTAAACCAAACACTATAACTTAGATTACTGAAATTTATTACAGCTTAGATAACAGAAATTGTATAAAATCATGATAGGTTTAGGCTTAAATTAAAATATTTCTAAATTGTTGTCATTAAAATGTCCACAAAACGAAACGTGATCCACCAATATTTTGTGTATCAGTAATTTTATTATCGCCTAAACTATAAAATCAAATGACATACTGTAAAGGCCAACTTTTATCTATACTAAGTACTTTTGATGATGAAATGATTTTTTATAAGGATTAATATTCCGTAATTCATGACCTAAACACTAGTTATTTTGACAATTTTTTTTAAACATAAAAACAACTATATCTGCTATAATATAAAAGTTATATAAATGGTATCGCGGTATATTTTTTTTTTGTAGAAATATTAAAATTTTCATACATTGTTTTCATTTAGATATATGCATAACGCAATCACTTTGTCAGACAGCAACCAATCAATGCTGTTTATGCTTATTACGTGTACAACTAAGCAATGCTGCTAATGCACTAGTGCCGTCATTTTTTCGCTAGGGCAATTTTAAATACACCACAAGTCATCTTGGAATCCAGACATAACAACAAAAACCGCATTTAACAAAAACAAAACATAATACTTTCTTAGATTTACGCGAATGTTTGACATTATTAAATAAAACTATCTTTTCGGATTATTTCGCGGATTTATTTTGATTTTTGGTTCCCCAAAAACCAAAATTCAAAATAAATCCGCGAAATAAACCGAAAAGATAGTTTTATTTAATAAATACAAAACATTTGAAAGTTTTCGGAATTACGCACTTCATACGTATGGAAGGATGATAGATACTTGCCTGCGGTTTCGGGGATGATGTGGGAAATAATTGTTAATAATATTTGTTCATTTTGCAGGAATTAGAAGAATATCAAAAGAACGGTGATGTCCAGTTGCACGTCGCTTTTTCAAGAGATCAAGCTCAAAAAATATATGTGACGCATTTACTAGAGAACAATTTAGATCAAGTTTGGGATATTATTGGCAAGAGGAATGGACACATTTACATATGCGGGTGAGTTGCGCACAATCTGATCATATTTTCGTAATATCAATAGAATTAATACTGTGTTAGCGTTCCATGTCCGATATTATTATCATTGAATGTTGTATAATCTGTTAACCTAGAAGCAGGGCTCGGAACCGGTTTAAAAAAAAAGGTTTATTTCGGTAATGTAATGGGTGACTCATGGCTTATTCGTTTACCGGTTAATGAAAACGAACGGTTTAGTAAACTGAAATAATAATGGTTAATAGTTATACTTAGAGAAAGGTTGGATTTAGGTTTTGATTCCTAAATAAATCGGTTGAATCATTCGTATGTAACAAAAGTACGTGTATCCTTCTACTAAGCAATTCACTATTAGCATAGATTCGCTGAATGTAAACGCACAAAAACTAAAAAACTATAATTTTAACTGGTTAATTTTGATCATGAAACCTAAATTCAAGGTCAATGACCAAAACTGGTTTAAAAATTGAAAGTCCGAGCCCTGCCTGGAAGTAAGTTAACGTGTATATTAAATCTTTCTCATCAGTGTTTTTAGATGTAGGTAAAACAGTCGTCGTGTTTATTTACTTTAACAACACTTTCATAAAGTATTATCAGCAATTTTATATTTGATTAAAGATTATATATTAGCATCCATGACACGGCAAAATGTCAATTAAAAGTAAATGAATGGTAATGATTGCCTTCAAGACCAACGTATAAGCAGATTTAAATGCTTTATTTTTATGGGCAGCTAGCTACATGACAATTACGTACTACTTATATTTTTACACGTGTAAAAAATGATACATTTCATTAGTTTTTATTATGTAATCATATTAAATATCCATATGGCCATCCATACATACGAGTATACATAATATGTACGTAAATAGCTCTAAAATACGAACAATTACGTCTTAGCGATTTTTCCTTCCTATAATTATTTATTAACGATATGCACGCGTTTAAATAGGACTAATATATCTAATAAACAAATGGAAATCAAGAATCGCATGTATACTAAACTTATTATTGTTATGACGTAATTTCTTACGTACATACTCGTATAATATGTACATTACACGACCAGGCGATCTTACAAGTGCAAAGTTAAAGACCAAATAATGACTAAGAAACAACATTCTGAAGCAGTTTAGTACTCATTTTAACAAAGACATTTGATAAGCTTTGAATTACACCAATTACATTGAGATTGTGTAACTATGTGTTTTTATTCAATTTTATACTATTATTTTAATCTAAGTACGCATTAGAAAATCGTGACGGAAGTGTATTTCGCAAAACCGCTGTTTATTTTGGTATGTCTGTTTGTCATGCAAAAATACTGAACCGATATAGTGATATTTTATGTTCAAAAATATTTAAATTATACTTAAAAGTTAACAGAAGCCAGTGACTTTGAAGAGAAGAATAATAAATAGATAAAAGTTTATACTTTAATGATTTATGACTTTATCTATACTAATATTATAAAGAGGTAAAGTTTGTGATCTTGTGAGTTTGTGGGTTTGTGAGTTTGTGAGTTTGTGACGTTGTAGGGGGTAATCTCTGGATCTACTGAACCGATTTTCAAAATTCTTTTACCAATAGAAAGCCACGTTCTTTCTGAGTGTCATAGGCTATATATTAACCCGAAAAATGAAAAGGCTTTTTCGTGGTAGTCGGATTTGCATAGTAAGTCGGAGAAAAAACGGTCGAACGAAAACGTTTCTTACCAACGCTGCCTTAACGATGAGAGATACATGATTATGTTCTAGAGAAAAGTTGTAGAGCTTAATAATGCCTACAAAAAAGTCAGCGACAGCATATGTCTAACTTTTATATTTAAGTCACAAAAAGTAGTTTTTTATATTAAAAAAATTATTTAAATCGGTAGGTCATGTTTATTGGTCATATTATCAACAATTATGAATTCTTATCAAAATAAATAAATTTATCGTCTAAAATGTTTAAAACAAAAGACTTTTCCCTTTTACTGCATATAATTTGGACAAATGGTTAAAGAGATAATACAACATATTCGTAGGTATGGACGAACCCGAGCGAGCTGTTTGTCTGTTTTCCTGTTTGTACGGGCTAATCTCCGAATCTATTGGACCGATTTAAATGAAATTTTGCATGGTGGTACCTTATATCCCTGGCCAACATCTTAGATACTTTTCATCTCGGAAAATTAAATAGTTCCCGTGGGATAGTTAAAACACTATAACAACTTATACAGCTTAGTACACAAAAACTACTGATTGGATTTTAATAAAACTTTAAAATAATATAGTTCATACATGACAATAACAAATCGGCTACTTTTAAATCCCAGAAAATTAAAGGGTTCCCGTGGGACAGTCAAAAAACTATAGTAACTTATACAGCTTAGTACACAAAACTACTAATTGGATTTTGATGAAACTTTACAATAATATAGTTCATACATCAGAATAACAAATAGGTCACTTTTTATCCAGGAAAAATATACAGTTCCCGTGGGATAGTTGTTTTTGTTTATTTGTAACGTATTATGTACACAACATAGACCCCAAAACAATAGTTATTAAAAAAATGTCTGTTTGTCTGTTTGCCTATATGTCTATTTGTCTGTTTTTGTATGCGCGTTTCACGGGAAGATACAATAACTGGTTTTATCGAGTCCTCCCTAGAAACCTTCCGCTGGCTTAACCTTAAGACATACATACATCAAAACAATATACTAAAAAATTGTAGGCCTTGAAAAGTCCTACAGGAAAGTTCTAAATAGTATATGTATATCTCCTAAGCAATATCTATTCTTATCTATACCTATAATAAAACTAACTTAGTCAAATCGATGTGCGCGTTTCACGCAAAAAGTACTGAACGAATTTTAACTAAATTTTGTATAGTGATAAATTAGTACTCGGGTCAACATTTAGGATACCTTTTACGACAGGCAAATTATTCATTCCCACGGGAAAACTCAATAACTGGTTCTATCGAATCGTCCTTAGAAATTTATATGGCTAACGTTTGCTCAACCCTAAGATATAGATGAAAACATTGTGCAAGAAAATTGTAAGTCTTAAAAAGGTCTATAGAAAAGTTCTACTTATTATATGTCTATCTCCTAAGGTACACTCGCTATAACTATTTTCATTATTATATATTACTTTTTTATTATACGTTATTTATTCTATACGTAATAAAACTGTAGAGGTTAGAAAAAATGCTAAAAATCGAGTCAGTTCTCTTCTTACATCCCGAAAGAAGAGAAATAGAACAAATCCAGTTTTTTTTTCAATTTTTTTGTTTCTCTGTCTGTTTGTCTGTTTGTACGGGCTAATCTCCGAAACTATTGAAAAGATTTAAATGAAATTTTGCATGGTAGTACCTTATATCTCCGGTCAACATCTAAGATACTTTTCATTCCAGAAAATTAAAGAGCTTATACAGTTTAGTACACAACAACTTATGCACCTAACTTAGTAAAATTTGGCATGCTGATACCTTATATTGCCGGTCAAACAATAGGTTACTTTTCATCCCGGAAAAATGAACGGTTCCCGTAGGATAGATCTGTTTGTGCTTTTCTTTTCTTTTGTATTATATGTATTTATTTATAAAGCCATACAAAATTCATGCATTGTGCATTGTAAAATAAAATATATATTTAATTATTCCTGTTATTTTATAGTGATGCGAAAAATATGGCCGTGGACGTACGCAACATTGTTCTGAAGGCGGTCATGGTGAAGGGAGATCGCTCTGAAGCCGACGCTATACAGTTCCTTAGAAAACTAGAATCTATGAAGAAATATTCCGCGGACGTGTGGTAAATAGGTATATTGTTGTTACAATATATTTAAGTCGACCAGCTGTTCATTGCGAGCAATATGTAACCACTACCGAGGTGCGGGGTCGTCCGAATGACGTTCTCGCCTTTTAAATTATCGGAAGTCACTATTGTATTAGCTATTTACATATTGATTTATTTATATTCTTTGTTTTCGACGAAATTAAAGTACTTCTGGCGGGCAATCACTTTTATAGAGAGTTGAGTTTTGTCATATAAATGTACAAAATACGTAGCGAGTAAATTATACGAAAGTATGTATTTAGAAGATTCAAGAAATAACAAGATTTTATAATGATATGACTTTTAGAACAATTTTGTCAATGATTTTGTTTTGTTTATTTGTGCTTAGTATAGGTTGTTATTGTTGTGTAAATTGAGCTATTAGTCTATACATGTTACTACGTAAGTGGACTGGGATATATAAGAAAATGTGGTTATATTATAAATTTATATATAAATTTGATTAAATATTTTATATAATACTTTATTTTTTTCTTAACCCTTTATAATCTTACAGGTCGATGAATAAATTGAGATTGTTAACACTTATTTACATTATAATTAGCTTTTATATATATTTATTATTTGCAACAATAAACATATCTGCTTGCTTTATCGAAGAGATTGCGGGTTTCCGTATTTCAACTACCTCTCTACCTGTAGATAATTGTACTGGATGCATGTATTATATCTATGAGTGTGTTGTGCATATAATGTTTAATTTTCTTTTTCCTATTTTTCATATATGAGTATTTATTGTACTTATCTCATAATTGATAATCCATACTAATATTATAATCAAGTTACTGACCCTCACTACGTTCGGGTGCGTCCCTAGGTAGGTTTTAATTTTTTTGAGCGGCACCCTAATTCTTTTTCAAAAATAAAAATAGCCTAATTTACTCATTATAATCAGCAATCTGCCAGTGAAAGTCCCGTCAAAATCAGTCCATCCGTTTCGCAGCTTAGCCGGAACAGACTGACATTTTTTAAAAAAAATTGTGTTTTTCTTATAAGTACATACATATATATAATTTTATATGCATTGAGTAAAAAGCTGTTATTTTGACATTACAAACAGACACGTCAATTTTATTTATCTGTCTATATAGATGTGATAAAAGCTTGTGAGGATGGATGGATGTTTGTTACTTTTTACGCCAGAATGGCTGAACGGATCAGGATGAAATTTGGCACAGAGATAGATTATAGTCTGAAATATCACATAGGCTACTTTTTATCCCGGAAAAATATACGGTTCTCGGGGGATAGATTTGTTTTTGATTTTCTAGAGGCCAACCCGAGCGAAGCGAGGGTGAACCGCTAGTAGGTAATATATAGGAATTAGGATACGTATCTATATCATGTTTTTATGATTTTTAGGTTTCCGTACCTCAAAAAGAAAAAAAGGAACACTTCGTTGTCCGTCCGTCTGTCTGTTAGTCTGTCAAGACCCTCCACTTTCTCATGAACGTATGGAGATATCAAAATCAAATTAATATCAAATACTTAGGCCTGTAATCCTTTAGAATTGTGATAAAATAAATCAACGCAATCAAAAGTTACGGCATTTAAGCAAAAGAAGCCGCATATTTTGAGGGGTTTAAAATCTCGTAAGGGAATCAAAACCTATAGGGTTCCCGTTGACCTAGAATCATGAAATAAGTACATAATTTAATATTTACCAGAAAATACGTAAAAATTGGGCATTCTCGTTTTTTAATCACTAATTCTAAAAATACAGAAGGCAATATAATTTGCTGAAATCTAACTCGTACTGTACAGGAAACATTTAATAAAAAGCCTATGTTCGGGTTACTCTTAACAGATATCCTAAAATATTTGAATGTAAACTGGCTACCTGCGGTGTGTTAAAGTTAAAGCCTAAAGGCAATAAAAACGAACGGATATATGGTCCCTATAGAACCCAAGGGTTTATTTAGCTGAATTTGGAAATAATTTTCTTAAAATATCAGAGAACAATATTATATATTTTATATTTTAAATTGTTATTTTGAAATATGGAGCTTAAGCCTAGTTCGCATTAAGCTAGTATTTTAGTCTAGTAGCGAGTAATTTAGTAGCTAAATTACTTGCTACTCACCAAAAATCGTTCGCACTTTGGTCGAGTACAGTTTACAAGTGAGTGGTGTTTTGCAAGATGAACAGCCTACAACGCAATAAAGTAAATAAACTGATTAAGCTGATCGTAACGGCAATTTTAGAAGAGGTGGATGAGGAAATTTGTGTGATTAATAAAAAGAAGCTATGGGTACGAAAATGGATCGAAAGATCATTTCTTCGCTTCAGCGAAACGGCATTATGGCGGCAACTAATGAACTCGACTAATTCGACAGGTTCGTACTTGTTTAGCCGGTGAACCAGTGAGCTCGGACGCGTGGTGGGGGCTGCTACTCGCCCAAAAAAATAGAATAAAATGGATTGACTCGACTAAATTACTAACTAAACTAATCGACTAAATTTTTAGTGTTCAGACACGTTTAGTTACTAAATTACTCACTACTAGACTAAAATACTAGCTTAATGCGAACTAGGCTTTAATCTTTTTATCATAAAGCGCTTTAGGTATGGTGTTGTCAGACGAGGCTCAGACTTATCAGAACAAGAACTGAGGTTGCTGTTGAAAAATCTCGCTTAATCGCATTCAGATAATTTCGTCAAAAACTTGACGTATCCATGTAATTTTCTTTTTAATATCTTGGATTTATCAATAAAATAATCTTTAAATTACAAGTAAAATTTATACTGAAAATGAATTATATGTTATACTAGCATTAGACTACATAGACCAAAAACCAAATTCTTAGGTTTTAATTATTAATAGGTATACTCTTACATTGCAGTTTTTGTATTTTTTTAGCAGAAATGAGATATTTTCCCGTGGTAAAAAGTAGCTTATATTTTGACCTGGATAATCAGTTATCATCATACCAAATTTCATCAAAATCCCTTCAGTGGTTTTTCTGTGATGCGGTAACAGACAGACAGACAAAAATTCTAAAAACTATAGATTCGGCCTCTGTATCGATAATAATGTTTATTTCAATAAGATTTTCCATAAAATATTTAATGTACCAACAGATTCGGCTTAGTTACAATTTTATTATATATATGTATAGATAACTATCTCTAAGCGTAATAAGGCGTGAATCACATTACACATAGCCAAACATTGCATCAAGCAGATAATAACTTTAATTTAAAGAAAATAATTTGTATTAGAAGAATTCTTGATTGTCTTTTAATTTTTTTAAACTTCTTTTAAAATAAACTATATTCTACATTAAGTATCTATACATTTTACAAGTGAGACCGAGAAGACTTATGGATTAATTTTACCAACTATTGATAAAATATTAATTATTAATGAGACTCACGTTTTTGAATATTTCGTAATGCCAATACTCTCGAGATAAACTTACGACAGTAGACATGAACCTTACTCATTTGTGTATCGATACGGTATTATGATAAAAGAGGAAAAGGTGAATCTAGGTCATGAGGATGTTTTAAATTTTGGTTAGACTGAGATAAACAACATCTAAGTATACAACAAAGGAAATAGCTGTTAGCTATTCGCTATGTTTATAATATAGTAACAGTCTAATTTAGTTTTACTCTGAAGGGTTCTGAAAAAAGGAGTAAAAATGTTTATCACAATACTAAGCAAAAATAATTTAATAGTACCTTATTGTAAATAAAACTATCTTTTCGGATTTTTTCGCGAATTTATTTTGATTTTTGGTTCCTGACGTTTCGAATGCTTTACAGCAATGATGGTCACGGGAGAGACTGAGGTGTTAGATGTCTCTAAGGTATTATATAGTTGTTATAGACAGCCTACCCACAATTAGTCGGGAACCAAAAATCAAAATAAATTCGCGAAAAAATCCGAAAAGATAGTTTTATTTAAAATGTCAAGTATTCGCGTAAATCTAAGAAAGTACCTTATTGGTAATCTTCGTTGTAGTACCTCTTCTTCTCCCTGCCCATTTCCCAATCACTTGGGGTCGGCGCAGTACATCTTCTGTAGGGGAAAGGGGGGTACACTGGATCACTTTTTTTCAAATGTAGTTTACCTATAAAAAAAAGTATAAATTACCAATATTTATATGTAGAGCAATGAGGTGTTAAGTTGGCTATAGAAATCTAGTTCAACTTTAGCAATAATATTAATAGTTTTCTGAAAGCAAAGGTTTTTTTTAAAAGTGGGAAATTATTCATTGTACCCCATATATGGGGTACATTGGATCTCCGCATGGGGTACAGTGGATCTTATTGGGGCACAGTGAATCAACACATGAAATCATCATACATTTTACTTTTGGGTTACAGCGAATCAATCAATATTGTAAAAAAATTATATAAATAAAAATATTTATGAATTATGTGAACACTTTTAATCAACAATATTACAAAATTATCAATCTCTATTTATTTTCTATTAGTCGTAAGTAACACATTACTTGTAGTGATATCTTATAAAACATGTACTTAGTATTTATATTAAGAAGTTTAAGGTATTATTTAAGGTTTAAAAATTATTAACTGGATAACATAAATCTTGAACGAAACAAAATAAAACATATACACAATAAAACTAATTTCAAAAATAAAAACATATCACGTTAATACGAAAAGAAATTGAAAAAAAAATTAACGCAAACTTAAGCGAAAAAAATTGAGATTGATCTCATTTATGCCTTGCTGTTATCGTTTAGTGCGACAAAATGTAGGCAGAGGTAATTTCATTATTATATATACTAGGGGTACTGAAGCTATATTTGGAACATCAGGTAATCTGTACCCATTCCTTACTTTTGTTCTCTTTCCCTTTCCTGTGTAAAATACTTATTTTTATGTGCATCTAACTATACTAGACGCAGAATTTTTTCTTTTCATTCTCTTTGTACTTATTAGTCGTTTCTCTCTCTTAATTTGTACTACTCCTTTGTT